TTGATGGCTCTAGTCAAGTGACATGATAGAATGGATAAAAATCTAAAGGACTGATGCCATGAACTAGAAAAAGGATAGCAAGTGTGGAGGCTGAGTAGGCGACAACTATAATGACTATGGTTCTCTAATCAATAAATTGTTAAATATGCTTTGACGAGCAACTATATATCTATGTGAAGTTTTGTCTTGATGTTAAGGATACTTGACACCTCTTTATTTTCCAAGGTGTTGAAACCAATGACACAGAAATATCACTTACTTTCCCAGTGTATACTTCCCAAACTTCTTTTGTTCACCATGGCAAGTAAAGTTGTATGTTTGACGAAAAAAGTCAATTTCTTTATTTTGATGCATTTCTCGAATGAACAGTTTGGCCTTAGTTTTTGCATTAGATTTATGTACACCAGCAAAGACATTGAATGTGAGGCATAGCATCAGAAATTAAGCCTCATTGCCTGAACATCTTGAAGTTTCTTATTCTTGTGAATTGTAATTTGCAGCTAGCAGTTAAAAGTATAGCTTCACATGGTCTTCCTGTCATTGTTTGCTTTAATGTGATCTTGTCATCATGATGAACTTGTCATAATATTTTCCAAACCAAACTTCATACTCATAACTCTGCGTACAATTACCAGTTGTCAAACATTTTCATATGTTGATCTTTGTTGCTGCAACTTTTACATTTTCTTCTGTTTGTAAAAGCTGTCAGGGATCATGTGCCATTCCTTTATAAGGGCTTCTTTGCATGCATTTTTGGAGTTAGTATTCTCATTGAAAGTTAAGAAGGAAATTTAACACTGACAATATTTTTAAAATTTTTGTTAAAAATAGAAAATTAGAATTATTTTTCAAAAGTCAAGAAATAAATTATGGAGGGGAAATTTGATATATAAATATTTATTCTAGTGATTGAGATGTCTTTTGGTGAAAGAACTACAAAAATTTTCCCGTTCAAAATATTGTAGCCTCTTCATAAAGCTAAAGCACTTTCTCATTGTGTCTTTTGTTTTTGAGGCTGAGGAGAGGCACTGTGAGATATTAGGCCGCCTTCTTTGCACTGCCAAGCTTGTTGCCAAACAGGAAGGTCTTGATGATGGCTTCAGGATTGTGATCAATGATGGTCCTAAAGGATGTGAGTATTCTTTCATCTTAAATCTCAATGCACATGGGCTGCAAACATAAGAGACACAAATACATTTGTTTACAGACTGAGTGAGGGTTCTTAATGCCTGAATGTTCAATTGCAGGTCAATCTGTCTACCACATTCATGTCCATCTTCTTGGAGGACGACAAATGAACTGGCCACCTGGCTAAAATGAACCAATGTTTGATTTTGAGTGGGAAGATGCCCTCTGGTAATACCGCGTTACTATCTGCCTGTTTATCAAGGTCTGAAAATAAACTGTTGTTTGGAATGTTAGTATGGTGATATAAATCATACCCTTTTATCCGGAATGAAAGACGAAGTAATGTACCGACTTTGCGTTGGATTTAGAGTATGACTACTAGTATCTGGATCTTTTACTTCTCTGTTTGGCTGCTGCTGTTTGTGTTTTTAAGCCTCTGTGGTTTTGATGATTAGTCTATCAACTAACATAAGGGTAAAAAGGGTATAAAACAAAAGAAACAGATAACATGGATTGATTACCTGAATCATCTAAATGGAACGGTGGTAATTAGGAATCCTATCAAGCTCCCGTTGCTGCATTTTGAAAATTGAAACTTTTGGCAAATTGAAATGGCTTAGAAGTTCTTGAGAACAAGAAGTTGGTGGTCCTTTGCTCAGCAAACTAGGCTGATAATATATGTTGCTGTATTTGCTCTGATATAGTTGAATAATAGTCTGCCATATATTAAGCAATATTGTCCTTTTGCCATGTTTCTTCCGCGAGGAAGTTAGGTTCCCGTAATTTCTCACCATTACGTTCTGTAAATACCCTTTTGGAGCTGTCACATTCAACCGATCCCTGTCAATTTTTGCAAGTTTCTCGTATACGAAGAAGGAGATATAGGTTAAGGTAGAAGGGACTGACAGTGCAAATTGTACAGGTTATTAATTCAGTTTTATGATTGCTGGGAACTGAAAATTTGAAAAATGGTAAAAGAAAATTCGAACTTACAAAACATTTAAGTATGAGCATTAATTTTTTAGTCGGCAGATTTAAATATTTAAAGAATAATATCCTGAGGGATGAATTCAAGGCTTGTGCCGAGGAGAAGATGATAAAAATTTATATTATTTTTATAAAATTTTAAAAAATGAAAAATTTATATTTTATTAAAAATATAATAAATTTATTGAAATCTAATCTAATTCAATCAGTGTAGTTTTACTAATATGTTAATAAATTAAATTTAATCGATTAATTACTGTCTAATTCATAATATTCTGAATTTGATTTCAGAATTTTCAAGCAAAAGTATACAAATTTTACTCTCCAAAGCAGAGTGATATTGGTAATTTTGACTTTTGAATTTAGATAAATACACGTAAATTGACTTTTAAGTATTTGATTATATATGAGTATCAATCCTAACCTCACAAATATGCTATGAGTGTGTTCTGTGTCATATCACAATATATATATATATATATAGAGAGAGAGAGAAAGAGAGAGAGAGTTGATCATTGTGATTTCAGTCGTCTAAATTGATGACATGCCATCAGAAAACTATACTTATAAATTTAATGTTCATATACCAGTACTCACTTTTACCATCAATGAACAATTTTTTCTTTTTCTGAGTATGGATGAATTAATATATTTCTTGAATGTCATTAAATTATTTTAAAATAATGATAAAATTATAGAAATAAATTTCAAAATACGTTTAATTGTATTTATCAAATGGTCATGAACCACGTAATCATTTTTTCTCGGGGAAGATAACAATGGAGCCGAAGCATGAGGTTTTGACTAGGACTTTTCTCTGGTTGAATGGGGCAAACTGGAGATTTTATAAAAAGTGATGAAAATACACCTTCCCGCACATTCAGAGACTTGGTAGCGCTCACGTCTCGAAGCTCTTATTTAATCAGCCAGCACTAACTAATTCCGGCGGTTTCATTCAGTTTCTCTTCTTCCAATCAAGATTCAACACTTCCATTCTCTGAAATCATATAAACCAAATCAAGGTATGTTATTAAATTGTTTTACTAATATCCATATAGACCATCTACGCATAAACAATTGTCGGTCAATTTTTGATCACTGTGCAGGAATCTAATGGCGGAAGATCATGAAAAGGGGAGGAAGGATTTGACGGAGACGGTGATGGGTATCAAAGACGATGGTGATCGGGGTCAGCTTACGCGTACTGATAATGGCCGCCGCAGTGGATTGGGAATGAGAAAGTCATGGTCAACTGATTCACTGGTAAGCCATGCGACGTCGTTTGCCAAAACCTGCGTTTGCTCTCCAACAAAACACCAGGGATCCTTTCGCTGCCGCCTCCACCGTCATCAACTCGACGGTCAGCAGCCTGTCACCGACCGCCCTTCCATTCCCAAGCGCTTCTCTCTACTCTCCCTACAAGAAGTTGACGAAAACAAGTGAACATATATATGTATATATATATATATATATATATTGTGTTAAAATTTGTACTTGTGAGCGCGTTTTATTTTCGATGTGTTTGGTGAAGATAAAATCAAATTCTCATGAGTGATTTGATTTGGTTTGTTATACATCTTATTGTGATTTATATTCAAAAGAAAATTATCATATGTTAATCTTTAGATAATCGTAATTACTAATTAATTTTATAATAAATTAATTAAATAATTAACATCAAAATTTTATATTAAAAACGTTTTTCCCGCACTTTTTGAAACCATCTTTATATACTTTTTAAGCGGTTAGCAATCAGACTAACTCCATAACCAGGGTTAAAGTGCGATCCATTCCTTGTACGAATTCATTCTCTGCAACTCTCCACCATTCTCCCGGTCCTCTTTAACGATGCAACGGAGAACTTTCCTGATGAAGCAGCAATGGTTCTTCCCGCAAGCTAAGCTGAAAAATCGCTAGTTTCGCCATTGGAAGCAGGCTTTGGCACCTGACAGCGCAAAAATGAGTTAGATAAATACAGGAAGATGAAGAGGCAAGCAAGGATTAATGCTCCTGTATTCTGACTATGCTGGTTCTCCATAAACGCCGTAGTGCACTTCCTCCGGATGGTAAAGCCAAGAGACCAGTATAAGAGACAGCCGTCTCTGCTTGGGAAATGTGCCTTCCTGACTTTTAGCAACTCTCCTTCGAAGCCTAAAGGCATCAAACTTATTTCGGTAAAAAAGCCGTCTCTCAGCGAGAATTCAAATATTCAATGGAGTCAAAGCAAGTAATTCGGAGGATTATTGATGAAATTGTTACGACGATGACGAAGATTATATGACTCGTAATGAACTGTGTAAGTGACGAAGATGATGATTGAATCGTTGTCTGTTGCTCTTCCTCTTTGACTAGTCTAATGGAAATGCTGCTTTGAGCGAGATTCTTACAATGGATTTGTACATTATGCATATTTTACCGTTGAGGTGAGGCAAATTTCTGGTTATTTAATTAGATTTTGTGAAGCGAGTTCTGTGAAGTGCCTTTTTCACCTTCTTCTTGTAATCTACAGCGAAACCTCGTCCAGTATTTCCTTATATGTAACATATTTCTTGTAGTTTGTCATGCTTTATATTGTTATATCCGGCATATAATCTATCCTTTTAGTGTCTCTTGAGTTGGAAAATGTGAAAGATGGGTTGTCCTCTTTTTCCCTTCTGGTTTGCAGGTTTTGACGAAAGGGATGTAGTTTGCTTTTCTTATGCTTGGATTCTCATGCTTCAGGAAGGACTATCTTTAATTATTTTGTACATTTAGGAGTTCTATCAAGTTGTTGATTAATCCACAGATCTTAATTTGGTAACCATCATGCTTGAATTACTCGATGCAGTGAGTTTAGGAAAAGTTCAGGCAATCTTGGTAACTAGTTGAACAAAAAATGATTGATATCTTCCCTTCTAGGTCTTAGTCATCCGTTCATTACTTATACACTAGCACAGGCTCCTTTAGTTTACAATTTGATCATTAAAAATGCTGATCATCATTGTAATTATTTTAGTCTTGGTTACCAGCGGAGTTCTTCATGGTCCCCAGGAATTGGAAAGACAATTTGAATAAAAATTAATCAATGCCTTCCCTTTCTTTATGCGTTAGTCATCCTTTGATCACTTATCACTAGCACAGGCTCCGTTAGTTCAAAAAATTTGCTCATTAAAAGTGCTGGTCAACAATGTGATTATTTACTGTTGGTTTACAAAAAGAGTCCTTCGTGGTCCTTAGAAACTGGAAAGACGGTTCAGTCATAGGTCATGAAGTTGGCATCGACCTTTCCTCAGTGAATGGACCTAAGATTGTCAGTAAAGTACCATTGGGGAAGTTAGTGAGAATTCTGTGAAGTTTCCAGTTCAGCTAGCCGAGTTGCATCTGCTGTAATTAGATTTTCTTTCCAATAATGCGTTCCTCATTCAGTGTATTGCTTTGCTTGATGATTATTATTCTAACTTGACTTGCAATTGGGGCTGGTACAAGATATGCATTCCTGAAAATTAGGATTTTATGGAGTGTTGCAAAATAATAACACATGGTATTAGTCTTTTAAAATTTTTAATACCAAGTAAATGTCCTTTATCTAGTTTCAATGGTCCAACCTTTCTTAGTTGTTCCTGACTACCTGGCTAAAGATACTGGGCTATGACCTGTACAAATTTTTCAGACCTACTTCCTGCTTGAGTTCATCAGAACTGTGATAAGACCAAGATTGGTCAAAGCATATGCAATTGTTATAGAGAGCATGTAGCATATAAAAATTAACTTCTCTGTAGGATAGCAGAATCATTGAAGTCATGTTGACATAGTGCATACATGAAGTAGAACATGCATGATATCAAGATGTATACCTTTGACTCAATGACTGGGTGTGGTAGTTAAAAACTAAAACCCATGCTGATGCAGAACCAACAAACAGAAACAAAACAGTGATTTATGAATTATAGAGGCTGAAAAGGACTGAATAGTTAAGAGAAAGGGAAGAAAAGAGAGAAAGAAGAAGAGATGAGGGGATCAGAAGGAAAGGAGAAGAGAGAGAACCAACAACCAGTGAACAGAACAAACTAGTAGGAAGAAGAAATAGAGAGATCGAAATTGACTGAATAAGTGAGAGAAAGAGGAGAAAGGATAATAAAATATCAAACAAACAAAAACTGTCTAACCAAGCAGAACACATGCTATAGGTATGTCTAACATGTATATGGCAGTCCTCTAACAAATGTTGAACCAAACAGATACTAATTTGAGCATTCATCACAAAAAAGATTAAGGGTCAAGATTGGTAGCTATTTCATGGATGTGTTATTCTCTAAACTGTTATGATACTCAATTTGTAGGTTTAACGTGACCTTTCAATTAGTTTAGTGGTTGTCAGTTCTTTGTTGTATTGCTAAGAATTTAAGCATAAATTTACTCCATAGTCTTTCTTTTGATTTTCTCATTATCATAACTATGGTGAATATACAGCTAAAAGATTAATTTGAAAGTAACTTTATGCCTCTAGAGAGATTTAATTCCTAAAATTTTAAGTTGTACCTTATGGGGGTGAACAATAATGGAAGTAGTTTGGATATGACCCTTTTGGTTTAATAGCTGGTCAAAGGTCTGAGGGCAAGAGGAATATACCTTAATCATGTGATATATGATCAAGTACTCAAGTTTTTTACTTTTTTCTAGTCTTCCATTTCATGCACTTCCTATACATTTCCTTGCACAGTGCCTTCTTTCCTTTACTCAGCTACTTTTATTGTCTGGGTATTCATTGATGAATTCAATGCAATTACACCTGCATGGAAAGATGGAAATGAAGACCCATTTGAAAGGCTGACGTTTACCTTGTTAAATTTGATGGATTATTTATTGGTGCTGGCCCGGGAGGCCTGATAGTATTGAACCTGCACTTAGACAGCTTGGAAAACTTGGCAAGAAATTCATCTAGATAATCTAACAATCGCTGTATGTGTCTATACAACATGTCTTAATTTGAGTAACATGTGCTTTGATGTCAAGTTCCAGAGGAGCCTGAATCCCTTGGTTATACTTCCACACTATTATTCCACATTAGGGCATTCCTGGTGGCTAGCTGGTAACATGTGCTTTAGCATCAAGTTTTAAAGGATAATTTCATAAGCAACTATAATGATGGAATTATTCTTCTAACAAAGTAGGAGTTAGTAATAGCTTTAGTTGCTTCTTGACTCTTGATCTAACATGTTGCATTTTATCTTTTTCTAGTTCAGGTAATACTTGAGGTTCCTAAAGTCAATTGGGAATATGCTGATGAGCAAAAGGAGGCCAAACTCAATGGGACCAGTAGATGGCTTCAGAAACATCAGGATGGATTCAAACAGATTGGCACCCAACTATCAACCAGCTTATTGATGTTTGGTCCCCTCAAGTTGTAGGAAGATCCATGTGGCTCATGTAATAGCTTCTTCATATCAAGATTCCTGAAAGTTTTAGCAAATGGACTGGTGAATCTCAAGGCAAGTGGATTCTGTTTGCAAAGGCAAGGGTCAATGCTATTATCATATTATATTTGTTATGAAATTCAATGATCTTATTTTTATTTGTAGAAAGAGAAGTGATGGCTTTTGAGTTCCTGATAATTTATGACTCAACTTCTTGTTGAATTAGATGATTAGTAATTATCATGATGTTATCCCAACTGTAGAAATTTGTTTTCAAATTCTATGCAGCGTTGGTATTATCTTAACAGCTCTGAAGGCTATGCTTTGGGTGACATATCATTGATCTGCTGGGAGTGACCTATTTCGGCTAGTTAGGTTCTCAAGGCCTCTGTTTTTTCAGATGCCTTTTGTTTTAAAGAACAAAATTTATTAACAATATTAGAAATGATGAAATCAGGAAAGGCTGGATGCCGAGGAGGTAACCACAACATTTAAAGACTGCAACTGGACAAGTGCAGCCATCAGGAGTTTAGGCCTATCAAGACTTGTCTACTAAATTTCAAAGGTTGAGCCCCCCAGTTGTAAAGGAGACCTATTAGAAGATGAAAGGGCTAGAGGAGAAGCAAATGGATTCCAATCTGGTTAGCATTTCTCCATCAACTTCTGCCATAATTTTTATTATCGTTGACTATTAAAGCTTAAATTAAGAGGCTAGTTAGCTGATTTACATTCCTAATTGCCACTTTTGTTCATTGTTGCTACTTGGCTAGACACCTGTTTTCGGTAGATGCTTGAGAGTTTGATTGCAGAGAAAGATGATTGAATGATTGCATTTGTGTCTATTAGTTGAATTACGGAATAATTTCTTATCTTCTACTTCTACTATAAATCACTAATTGCACCTATCTTTTTCTCTTCACTCCACATTCTCAGGACCTTGATAATTCTATCATGCAGCTTGTCCACAATATCTCATCAGTATTCGCACTCCCCTTCCCCCACCATAAAAATCTATAGTAGGTACCCCAACATCACTGCAGCTAGTTACAGTCATGCTTTCCAAGCCAGCTGCTCACAGCTATTGAATTCAGATCACCCCATCGACCCATCAATCAATTCATGGCCCATAAGACATCCGCTCCGCATGTCCCTACTCGGGTAATGATCTTTTGGCTGTTCTCTCTTATGAAGTGCTGATGATTGTCCATACACACACACAGACACAAGCGCATCTCTTTTAAGGCTAAGGTCCTGTAAAAATGAGATGACATCACTGAGTATTAGGGGGGTCTACCTTTTATATAATAATACAAGGAAACGTTCCCATTCTAGTGAAAAGAGAGTGAACCTTGTCAAGGTAAAGAATGGACCAGATGGATCAAGATATCCAGTCTTACACGTCTCAAAGAATTGTATTGTGGGTGGCCATAATCTCATTTTGCCGGTTATGGGCCTATTATGTCACGAATATTGTCTAGTCACTTTTCTTTTTCCTGATTTCAGGCCGAGCAAATTCGTGGGACAAACGAATTGCATGTTTGTGTCATGATGGTCCCTATCAGTATCTACTGTTGTGCTTTTTCTTGGTCTATGATAATTTAATGATTTTTGGTTGATGATATGAAGGTATGATTGGGTTTTGAAATATCTCGCAGCGAAGGTCGGTAAACTTAATAGAAGATGAAGAGGTCAAAAATGGTGGCTGCTATCAAATTTAAACAAGTAAATGCTCTTCACTACTCATCTTTACTCTCTTTTTTTGCATAAATAATATGCAGCCTGTTTACTTTGGGTATGCGTATCAGGTGTCGTAACCTTGAAGTAATAAAATAGTAATAATAATAATAATAATAATAATAATAGAACAAATAATTTTTTTTAAATACACAAACAAATAAAGAGATTAGTTTATACAGTAAAAAGTAGTAATAATAAGAGTGGGAGAATAACTAAAAGTGTGTAACACACATATTTGAATGATTAATTGTTTTAACTCATAGAATTATTATTTTCAAAAAATAATAAATTTAGTTGTAATGATATCCAAACGATAATAAAAAAAAAAAAAAGTTCTCTAATTTATCCTCCTTTTTATATTCAAAATTCAAAGTCGAAACAGTAAATTTGTGTTTACTCTCTAATTGGGTTTGTGGTTAATAATTACATACGTTTGTTTCTTTGGATGGTTATATAAAGAGAGAACAAAACACGAGTCAGGTTGGTGGACCAAAATAGGATGGTTACCTGCTGAGAAAAACATGGAAATCACATGATTCTCCCTGGTCTTTTTCAAACCCATTTATTGATATTTGCAACAAAACATGCTTCTTTTTTTTCCTTCTCTCAAGTATGTCAATCTTTTTTAAGTAAATTACTGTCGACGGTAAATTTTTCTCCCTTATTCATAGACTAGTTGTTTATTGCATTAAGAGAGCTTATAAGCTCCCTCAAGAATTTATAATTCTGGTAAAAGATATGGGTTACTGTTGGTACATTTACCGAGCTCATTTAAGTATTTTCAATAGAATATTTAGTCCGAGCTATTATAAAATAATTGAAGATCAATGTACTAAAATGTGAAGAAAATTGAGTCGTCAAATTTTTTGTTTGAAATGTAACTGATACTGAGGTAGAACTTTTGCATAAAATAATGGGTTTGATTTGAAGTTGGTGGACGTGACAATTTTAGATTAAAGTTACTTTTTTTTTAAAAAAAAAATGGAAGTCGTATACGAATTTCTTTTTCTCCAAACTAGTTTCAGATGGGTATGTATGTATCTTGGTTTTTATTTTAATTTTAACTTTTTAACGGAAAAAAAAAAAAAAAAAAAAAAAGTTTGGTGTTTTAATTTTACGAAATACTGAAATTTTGTTGAATTACCGATCAAAATTAAGATACTAATTTCTTTAGTCTAATTTTAACTATAGTAAATTACTAAGCTAATCCTTTACCGTTACTTGTGTTAGAATTCAACTTTAATTTTTTAATTATAATTTAGTTCTTGAACATACAAAATTATTTAAAATAGATTCTTAATTATTTTTTTTCTTAAAGCAGCAAAAATATTGTTAGCTAAAAAAATTAATTTTTTGATAGTGATATAAAAAATTACTTTAAAAATGTAATATTTTTATTTATAATTAAAATTGAAATAATTTTATAATAACTATTATATAATATTTATTATTATTATTATTATTATTTCTATGATTTGAATAAAATGAATGAATAATTTTTATTAAGACTATTTTTAGTTTTCATAATTTTTAAATTTTATAGAAAATCATAGAAAAATGTAAAAATTTCTGGTAAAATTTTTATAATCATATAAAAAATTATAAAGTGAAATAGTTCTATTAAGTTTGAAAATTAAACTATAATGAAATCAAATTATAATACAGTAAATATTTAGGGGAATAAAATAATAATTTATTTTTTTAAAAAAAAAAAACATTATATTGATTCAGGATTCAGTTCATTTTAGATTATCATTATCATTTTATCATCCCCATTCTGGAAGTATCGTAATTATTATTACTCATAAAAGATGCCTTTTTATGTAAGCAATAATCAAACTCTTTCCAAAGCTTGAAAAAGAACAAGAAACATAAGAAGAGCCTCTTTTAATTTGATCATGAAATGGTTAAAAACGCTGCACAAAAATAGTCAAGTAATTTTTAAAAGGCCATGGACAGGTCTTGTCTGGGGTATTTTCGTGGTTTTTGTTTCATTCTCTAAAAGATACTTTTTCCCTTTCTCTTTCTTTCTTTCTTTTTTACTTTTTGATTTTTCTATTGGACTTTCATTTTATTATTTGTCCACTTGTCACCCATTCTAGCCATAGACCTTCTTGAACTCTGTACTGAACCCATATTGTACAAAAGAATCTTTTAGCTTCAAAGTCAAATTTTAATTTATCCCCTCCCCGGTTTAATTTATCCTCACAGCAAAAATAATAGCTCCTTTTGAAAGTTCTCATTTTTTAGTTTAACCCCATTTTAATTTACATTTGATAATTTAGTTTAGTTTAGTTTATTTTGTATTGAATTATTTAATTTTTTAAGTGATTATTTTAAATGTTTTTCTTAATTTAGATATGTTTAATGTCATTCTTTGTATTTGTCTTTTAATCAACTGTGTAAATGTTCTCCAAAATATTAATAATTTTAAAGGAAAAGATAAAAATCAAATTATTATGATAAAAAAAAAAAAACATTCAGATTTTAAGTTGCTGTAAAATCAAATCATAAACTGTTTAAAGTATTCTTTTAGACCTAAGATAATATTTGATAATAACTCAACCCACTAAGAAACGTCCAAACCCAAAAAGGATAAAGTTATCCCCACAACCAACACCACTAGCTATTCTTCCTCCCTCCCTCCTCTTCTTATCCATGAACAATCCTACAAAGTGACCAAACTTTGCATTCTCTCTCTCTCTCTCTCTCTCTCTCTCTCTCGTCCTCCTCAAACCCCCACCCTCTTTTCCCGTACAAGCAATATTTGTTGCGATAAATTCCATCCGTACTCTAGCTCTGCTGCGCGTTACCTGCACTCGCCACTGCACACACAACCAAAGTACACCTGGCATTTTCAGATTGCAGAAATGGAATTGCAGACTAAATGTGGATGAACCTGCAACCTGCTTCACCCACCCAAGTATTCCCCTCTACGCAGCGTATCATCGTTATCACCAAATCATTCATTTTTCTTTTCTAAAAAAATTATATTATTCTTCTTTTTTAAAAAAATAAAAAAAATAAAGAGAGAAAACTACTTACGCAATTATTTATTTAAAATATTTTTAATTTTTATTTAATTTTTATATTTTTGTTATTCAACTCTATTATATTAATATTTATAGGGAACTAACTCTATTTATATTTTCATTTTTGCAATAATAACTTTATACTTTTTTCTTCTTTTGTAAAGATGTGAAATTAATTTAAAATTTTGCCTTATTTTTATTGTATTATTATCTTTATTTTAAATAATAAAATTTAAGATACATTTAATCTTTTTTTTTAAATAAATTATACTAGTATATATTTTTATAAAAATAACAGTCCGAATAAAATTTTATTCTTAACAAAAGTTTGAGTTATTAAAATATATGCAATTATCTGATATTTTAAATGCTTTTTTTTAAAAAAATTTATTCCTTAACTAATTAGAATGCCTTATGTTTAAAAGTATGTATAATAAAATCACAAATTAATTAAACTATAACTTTATTAATCAGACTTAGAAACCAAAATTTAGCTTTAATGGTAATAAATTAATTAAAAAACTTCAATTTAAATTTGAGATAGTAATTTGTCTTTAAAATCAGATTCTAATATCATAATTATGCAGAAATTGAAGTTCAGACTTGTGGAGTATCGATTTAATTAGTAAAAAAAATAATTGTCACAATTTTTTTAATAATATAACAAAAGGCAAGGTTACAACCAAGTAACACAATATTTGTCTGCATACATACATATAATATATGTTACATATATATATACATGTAACATATATTATAGTTTAAATCAACAATACTCTTATTAATTCATAATCACGTCTGATACAAAAAGTTTGGTTAAATATAATGGTAGAGGAGCGTGTAGTCACGCGCTCCAGCAAAGCTGGTTTGCTGGGTGGTATCTCATATCTGTCTATGAATGAAAATCTAAGAATCTTTTAACACTCACTCTCAAGTATAAGACCCCCAAATCCCGGAAAAACAAAATAAAATAAAATGAAAAATATATAAATATTTATAATTATTATTAATGAAAAATGAATACTGCCTCAATAACATAAAAATCATAAGAAAAGCATCAGCAACAGTTCCCATAATAAAAGCTGAAAAGAAGAAAACAAGATCCACCTCGAACCTCTCTCCACCCTCCTCCTCCTCCTCTCACCGATTTTCCACCATAACCACCACCACCACCATCTTCAGCCTCCCTCCCTCTCTCTTTATCGTTCTCTCTCTCCTTCTCTGTCAACGATCAGTTGTAGAGAGTGTCTTCGAGAGTGGTGCGGGTATACCCTTTTTATCTTTCTGTATGTTCGAGAATCAAGGTTGTTTTTCTATAATCTAATACATACTTACTCGCTTTCCCTTCCTTCTTTTGTCTTCTCCCTCTTCTTTAAGCTCCTCAGTGCGATACCCATATCAATAAATCCACTGCTCTCCACAAATCGGTAGTTAATTGGGTTAACTGTGAATTGGGTTTGGTCTAATTTTCCAACAATAATGAGGGAAGAGGACTCAAATTGGTTCTCAAGATGGGAGGAAGAGCTCCCGTCACCTGAAGAGCTCATGCCTCTCTCTCAAACCCTAATCACTCCTGATCTTGCTATAGCTTTTGACATCCGAAACCACAACAGCAGTTCTGGCCAGCAGCAACAACCCAATCCGCCGCCTCCGCCTCCTCCATCGGCAACTCCTCCGCCTTCCAATCCCTTGGCCGCTTCCCAGCCTAACTCGGCGGAATTTGGAGCCGATTCCGCCGAGTTGGGCTCTGGTGCTGCCGGCGACGAGCCGGCTCGGACCCTCAAGCGGCCCCGCCTTGTGTGGACCCCGCAGCTCCATAAGCGCTTTGTCGATGCTGTTGCACACCTTGGGATCAAGAATGCGGTCCCTAAGACAATAATGCAGTTGATGAGTGTGGATGGGTTGACCAGAGAGAACGTGGCGAGTCATCTTCAGAAATACCGTCTTTATCTCAAGAGAATGCAGGGATTGTCGGGTGGTGGTGGCGGAGCAGGCGGTAATGGTGGTGGCGGCGGTGGAGCCGGGTTAGCTGCCTCGTCGGATCCGGCAACGGACCATTTGTTCGCTAGCTCCCCGGTGCCACCGCATTTCTTGCATCCCGGTCGGCCCAATTCGGATCATTTCTTGCCATCGTTTGTGCCTGTGGCCGCACTGCAACACCACCACCACCACCAGCAGATGGCAGCAGCGGCGGCAGCTGCGGTGGCACATCCTCATTTGCAGCCCCAATACCACAGGCAAATGGGGCATTTTGGGTCACCACCAAATGGGCAATTTGAACATTCGTTTCTGGCTAGACAGACACAGCAACCGATTCATAGGATGGGAGCACCAGTTCACAATCCAGTGCCGGGATATGTGGAGGATTTGGAGTCGGCTAATGCAAATGGAGGGAGGAAAGTCCTTACACTCTTTCCAACTGGGGATGATTGAAGTTGGGTAATTGTTGACTGCCATTTATCGTTTCAATTTTCTTTTTATGATTCAGCTTCTGGGTCTTGTCAAATCAGTTCTTGGTGGCACTTTTGTAGTATTTTTAGAGTTCAGTTTAGGGTCTTGGCTGTTCTTGTTGTGTTAGTCATTGTTGGTAGCCTCTGATGGTAACAATTGGGATTGGGCTTCAGCTGAAATCTAGTTTCATCTACAGATCAAGAATTTCTGTTATCTGAGTTGTGTTGTCTGTCCGGTCTCTTTCACCATCTTTTTGCGAGTGACTAGGATTGGTGGGTGGTATGAGGTATCTGTTATGGTGTCCAATTCCGCAGACTTCTACATGGGTAATTAAATTGTTGGTAGCAGTCTGTCTCCTTACTGTCTGCTTCTGGTGACGGAAATTTGAACGACAATCAAATTCCTAAGCTTCTTAATGGAAGCATTATTGAAGCTTCATGATATTGGTCATTCTTGATTTCCAGAAGAGTTGTTCTCCTCATGATATCTCAGGATTTGCTTGGTTATCCTGCAATTCAGAGTCTTCTTAGTAGTCATCGACTCCTCACAGGATGGCCAGAGGAAGAAACTGACTGAAGTTTGCACTTGCAGGTAAGGATAAATAATAACATTGCAAGTGCTAGATAAGTTCATTACATATCTAAATATGGGGTCGGAATCCTTTGTCAGCAAATATATTGAGAGTCTCAGCAATATCCAATATCTTTTCTCTGTTAGGTCTATCTCTTCTGTTTCTTAGTTCAGTTTTATGTAGAGTTGAGCTGTACTTTTTGTACATTGTGTGACTCCATAGAAGACATTGATCCCTCGTATAAGGGAAACTATTAAAGAAACCCTAATGTTATTAGAATCTTAAATCATTTCAATGTCCCCGAACATTGGAGTATCGAATTTGCTTTCTCTTTCATGCATACTTAATTATGTTGGCAATGTTGAATGACATATCCTCTTTCATTCCACTTAAGGACAAATGCTTTGCATCTGAAGCAAGTTACTTTAGGTTCATTTCTGTTGCTGGTTAAATTATGAGAAAGGTGAAACATTTAACTGAAGAAGTAGATGGAAAGGTCAACTGAATTTCCATGTTTATACTCAAATTGAAAGGGAAGAAAGATCTAGATCCAACCCAAAGTGAATAATAGAGATACCAAGTTGGTAAATGCATGATACATTTTCCCTCAAGTTATGGATTGTTATAGCTGTAGTTTCCTGTCAAAGTTAACTAACAGACTCTAGATGACATATCTTTTTTGCTTTAATAGATAAGAAAGACGATATCTCACTTTGGGATGGAAGGAAATTAAAAATTGAACTGAGACTGCATTATATTTTGCCCTAGAAAGTAGTATAGCTTCCCTATGAATTCTACATTTTTTGTATGGTTGCACTGTGAAACTTTGACTTTCTGGATTTGGATGATGATCTTCATGAATGCTAGTGCACCTTGCATCTCAGGAATAATGTCCTCTATACATTCTAAAATTTTTTATGACGGAATCAATAGAATCAGCTCAAGGTTGAGTAAACATTCATATTGGCAAATATCAGTTGTAGTATTAACAATAGGACTTCCTAGGCATGTCTACATTGTTGCTTCTGGAAATTGTAAGCAAATCTCTATCTGACTTAGACTCGTTCATACATGATGTTGCTTTGTAAGTTCTGTTTGTTTGATTTTAATAGCTTTTTGACCTTAGTAGAATTCTCAAGAGAGTGTTCCTTAAGGAAATTCACATTGGACACAAAGATACCCTGCTATCGGGTGATGATATTTTATTCTTGTAGATTGATAGAATGGTAGGGATGACCTGCATGTATGGAAATGTCTGTTAATTTCATATGCTTAAATCTCAACTGCGAAGATGAAATCTAGGATTGGCATTCTAAACATTTTCATGAGAGCACGAAATAAAATTACATGGTTTTGCTAATACTCTCCTAACACAGTAAGAACTTGATCTCAATTTCAATTCTCGAACTACATAAAGATGGTTGGATTGTGCTAACCAGTTGGACCTTATTGTGTAACAAGTTTGTATATGTGCCTGTAAGTTGGAATTGTTGATTATAGAGACATATTTGGGCAGTTTGTATCATTTGAAATTAGTTGACTACGATAGGAAGAATATTTCACCCAAAGTCCTGTCTGCAGGCTGCACCTTGGCCTGAACAAAACACAGAATTGATACTGATCCTATGCCCTCTAGCCCGAACAAACAGATTAACCCCTCTGTTTTACCTAGTTGAATGAATATGTAAAAAACTGCTACTTACTCTGTTTTGCAGTTAGTACCTCCAACATTCTCTCTTCTTTTCTTTTCTTTTGAATATACAGGTATCTACTACTTTCAAAAGGTATTGAGAAGAGTGGATGCTAGAGCTATCCTAAACCAATAAGTATAATATATATATATATATTTTATCAACTTGGGTGGATAATGTCATAATATACAGCAGCACATGCATGGCTTTGCTCACTTATAAGGACACCCTATTGCCATCTCTTGTAGAGCACTAGTTTCAAGTTTCAATTAAACATTAAATATATATGTATATATATATATAGGATGAGAGAGAGAGAGAAAAAAGATGCATAGTGGAATTCTATATTAATTTAGTTCTGTCACCAAGTTGAGATTCATTTTTATATAGATTACAAAATTCTTTCTTAATCTAAACAGAAAGAGCAGATCAAATCAAAATTTACTTGTCTTTTTATCAGATCTCCTTTAAGTCAATTCTTGTGTTGGCACACATCCTACCATACATACCACATATGTGCGTGTATGTGTGTGTGTGTATCGAGAGAGAAAGAGAGGGAGAAAGAGTGATTTTTGGTTTTGGGGTTCTTAATTCCTGTCGATTTGAAGTTAGAGAGATAGGGAAAGAAACTTTTGGGTGTTAAATTTCAATTCCTTTGGAACTTCTTTTTAAGTTGAAAGTTGAGAAACCTTAGAACAGTGCTGCGATGAGTTAAAACAGTAAAAGGGTTATTTCAGAGTACATAAAAGCACGCTTCCCAGTCCCACATGAACAGCCTGATTCCGCTGGCTGCTGCATCCCGTCCTCCACAAATTTCATGGACATCAAAACTTAATTTATATTTTGATTTCGGACTTCGATAAGCCTCTTTACCTCTGCACTAATGGATCCCACGTGATCTCTTCACTACATTTGCTGTTTTCTTCCCTTATCATTACATCTATTATTTACAAATTTCCTTAATTAATTAAAACAAAAGTACAAGGTTACTGTAGAAATCATTAACAAGAACTGTAATATTTAACGATCACGCCTTGCGAAAACTTAAAATAGCAATTTAGTTGAGTTCTCTACTATTTCCACTCAGAATTTTAGTTAATTATGTTATCATAGTGCATAATTAAAACATAATTGGTAGATTTATGTTAGATTTGAAGTTATGATTGTTCTCGCATTAAATTCCTTGAACGATGAAAAATTAAAATTTTTCATCGAGAGGTTAAAGTGGGAATGGTGAGAATTATATACGTCGAAAAATAATATAAAAATTAAAATATGAATTAAATAGAAAAAATGAAATCAAAGCCAAGATGAATGTCTATTTGTCAATTTTCCTTGACCAAAAATAAATTTATTAATTAAATATAGAATTTGACAAATTACTTATGATATTCTATTTACATCCCCAAAGAAGACAAAGAAAATTTTTAAAAACTGAAACTAGCAAGATGCTGATTCCCAAAGAAGGAAATATGCCATGCCATGCCATGAGATGTAAGAGGCAAAGGATCATGTCTTGCTGTCTCAGGGATTTCACACAGCAATTATCAGATGAGCAAATCAGATTTGACATCCAATTTTCTTGTCAGTCCAAAGAGATTTTCCTGCTCCCAACCCACCCAACACCCATTTGGGAATAACACACAATGCCAACTTCACTTTCCCTTAAACACAATTGTTGAAAGAGTTGGGCTCGAAACTTATTCAGAAAATCATTTAAATAAATCATACAACAAGGACGATGATATTAAATAAATTTCTGCCACCGTAGTATTTGCCATCCTGAAAGGTCAGACACACACAACCCACTTCAAAATGCTTTTCGACAACGCATCAAATTTCTAAATCGCTATCAACCTACCTACTATAGCGTGTCTACGTACATTCCATTACAGATATTCCTTTATAATTTATTTGCTAGTGATTAAGACATGATGAACTCCGAGCTGTCAATGATGCCTTCCTGGACCTACCAAAACATCAAATGTTCTTTTTAATACTATTATATTAGACTACGATTTTACTTGTTGGGTTCCTTTCTCGTGGGTATCAATGAATTTAAAATCTTAGCATAGGCTGTATTTGGAATATGCTTGGATAATATATGTTATATAGCCTTTGGTCTTGAGCTGAGCTCCATCGTTTGTCCATCAACCACTACACCTTGAGCTCCACAAGGCAATGTGGTAACAACCATTTGCAGCCACATATGGAAATAAATAAAACATACATGTACTAGTACTAATCAGTCTGCAAGGAGATAATTCGAGAAATGTCAAAAGTAATGTTACACCACTTAGGGATTTCAATACCACAAAAAGAGCCCAACTAGGTAATAAGTTGCAAACAAAGGTCTGTAACAAAAAAGTCTCAACAATGAGTCCTGACAACAGAAGAATACTAGTATAGAGAAATCTGAATACACCATTCCCACCTAATTCTCATCTAATGGTTTTGCAAGTAATCAAAGCTCAGAGGCTGCTGACAAAACGGTGCCTGCAAAAAAATTGGTGCATATGGATTAGTTGCAAAACGAAAAAAGTTCTCTTTCCCCATACATTTTGATGATCACATGAAGTGTATTAACTTGTTTCAAACAAAGAAAATGTTATTCAATGAATCAAGGAGATGTTTGAAACAGGAAATCAACATTAGAAGTGAATTATTCTAAAATAATCAAGGGCCAATAGAATATAAAAAGCAAAAAATTTTATCTTCTTAATGGAAAGTCTAAGAAATTTATCAACTCCATTCTCAAGCTTAATAACATTCTATCAGTCAAAAAAGCAAAGGGTCTTATGCATACTTCCTAATACTTTCATCAAAGCCCTCTAGTTTGAATTCATATAACACTTTGGACCAAATTACCAATACCACATAAATGTCGAGTTGAAGAATTGCTCGAAAAACCATTAAAATAAACAACCCAAATAACGATGATGATCATGCTGTCTGCATATTTAGAGACTCGCAAAGCACCCTCAGTATCCATTCTGCCGTGCAGATTGTGTCTAAAAACCTTGATGAACAAACCAGCAAGAAACAGAACTCCATCTCAAAGCAAGATAGGTGCTAGCACCAAAACTTAAATTTTCTTATCAACTAACCAGCTTACAATTAGATGAGTAAGCTCGTACACTCACCTTCCCTAAGCCAGTTTGTGAAATTAAACCTCGGTT